CACTGTACCTGCCCTGTCACCTGGACAGAGCTAGCATTAACTACCAATCATGGCAAAGGAAAAGCAGGCCTCTATTTGTGGTTCCTGCTAGGGACACAGGAAAGGTCAAGTGCTGAGGAAGAAAGAGGGGCTAAGGCCAGGCTTTCAGCTGTCTGCAGTCACACTAGGCCACACAATCTTATCAGTTTCCAGCTGGAGAGGATAGTCTTCCATTATTCCTTCTGTTTATTATTCCTTCTGTTTATTAAGAGCCACCATTAAAAGATCCTTATCTCAATTGCTTCCTTTTTGTTTATCTTTTTGTTTATTAAAGATGTGCAAAGGCCACACTCCATCAATAAAATTCAGGTGTGGTGTACCACATTCATTAAATAACAGTTACATTAAAATACGTGTTTAAACATCCCTGTTTAAAATCTAAAAATCTCAGTGAATCAGGAAATGCTGGCTCTTTCTTTTTTTAAAAAAAAACCAAGTGTCAAAATTCCATCTAGGTTAGAGCCTGTCCCAATCGAGAGGGAAGGAAGGCTGGTTCTTCCATGAAAAGTATGAGATGACTAGCTCAGGCAGTGGGGGGTTGTGCAGCTGGAAACAGAAGGGAAGTATTTGAAGGCAGCTGTACATGCCGCGTGGCTTTTAAAGTAGCCTGCATGCTGAAGTGGCAGTGAAGAATGCTTGTTCTGTTGCTAATGCTGGATTGAGATTGAACTGCCAGGCCATGCAACCTCTATGTGTGGCACAGGAGGATGTGCCATCTTGTCCTTTTGCCTCAGATAGCGTAATTCCCTTGGATCAGGAATTCCAAAGGCATCAGAAGAGAAAAGGGCCTGTCCCTGGTTGTTGCCCAATATACATGTTCAGGAAATGGAAGAACCAGGAGCCCTTGGTTTTAGTGAAAGGGCAAGTTGAAATGAGAGCAGACAGTGGTCCTTTTAGCAATTCAGGTCCATACCATTTTGGACCATTAGCTTAAAAACAGTACAACTATTTGGTATTGATCAGTACAGATGCTTGATGCTATTTTGGTTTGAATGGGTCTCAGAGAATTAGTGAATGGAAAAGTGACCATTTTGGACCATTAGCTTAAAAACAGTAGTACAACTATTTGGTATTGATCAGTACAAATGCTTGATGCTATTTTGGTTTGAATAGGTTGCAGAGAATTAGTGAATGGAAAAGTGGAAGAGAAAATAAAGAAATAATGCTTCCATCTTATTTTCACCTGAATACAGTTGGTAATCCTAAATTGAGTAAATCCACCAAATCCTTGGGATCTAGATAACTAATGAGCTAACCATTGAGCAATTGGTTCAGTGTACCTGCTATAGCTGGGACCAGTAACTAGACCTAGACTGGTGTCTACTTCTTTGTTAATTTGTGTCCACCTTTTCCTCCAGTAAAGCTGTATGCATAGCTCTCCCTCCCATTTTCCCTTAACATACTCCTGCAGGGCATGTTTTTCCCTCATCAGTCCTATGTTCTACCGACATCTTAAAAACAACATGGAACACTCTTTTTCTTCCATACAAGGACAGTGTGCTATGGGAGATCATGTGCAAGGAGGGCCTTGAAGCCCTGACTTGGCTATCCTTCTTGACTCTCCACGTGTATTCCTGATAAGAGGAGCTTTTGTTGTGGCCGCATCTTTTCACGTCTCCTCCAGATGGAGAGATCAGGTTATAACAACAGAATTATCTACACTGGGCACAGAGAATGAAAAGAGGGAGCAGGGAATGGCAGGAAATCAAAAACTCAGAACACTGTCTCTTGAACGAAGAAGATCATCTTGGCTAGAGATAAAAATATTGAGATAAAAAAAAAAGGCCAGCTCCTGAAGAGAAGAAGGGGCTGGGGAATCATCTCTGGTTCCTGTTGGCAGTCTGTTTTCATTTTCCTGTAGCTCCAAGGCACTCCAGGATATTATTAAAAATAATAATAATGGGCTGGGAAGAGGGGAGTTTATACTAATATTTAATATCAGATTTCAGGGATGGCTGTAAGCTTGTGTTACTCCTGGAAATCATATCAGGTGAAAGCTTGACTAAACCAGAAAGAGGCAAAATGAGAGTGCACAAAATCTTGAAGGTGAATGAAGCCCTAGATTTCATTGCTAGCAAAGGAGTGAATCTGGCAGGGTGGAGTTGATTTAAATTGGTGATTAGTTGACTTGTGATCCAGTATGAGCAAGACAAGGAAAGACAGAGAGACATAGAAGTTGGGAAACCATTGAATAGGCAAGCAGGCAGAGCAACCTGAAGTTTTAGTCATCTGCCCAGAATTTTATTAGCCTATATAGAATATTTATCCTCTTTATCTGGCTGTCAGAACTGACTCTGTTTTTCATGAGCAACTGACATTCCTTCTCCCTTTTAATAACTCATTTTTTACAATGGCCAGTCAAGACCTTTCTTATCTTCTTGTTTGAAAGAGAGAAGACACAACTACTCCCCTCCCACTGTTGCTATTTCTCATACAAAAAAAAAAAGACATGATGGATTGATCATAGGAGCATGGTTTGGTGCAGTAGAGTGAATCTCCTTAGAAAGTTGAAAGGAGGGACTCATGATTTGGACAAATACATGCTTCGTCCAGAGATCTCAAAGCAAGCTGCTTGAAGGAAAGCAAGCCCTGAAAGAGAAGTATGTACAAAACTATATTTTTAAAAAAAACCTATTGGAACGCTGAGAATTTCCTAAGCTTTTACACAGTCCGGTAGGGCTGCACAATAGTGGGCTACACGAAGCTGAGAACTGATTATTCTGGGGCTATTGTTTGTTCTGGAAAACATTGTTATCTAGGAGGATTAGAAATGATCCGAGCCCTAAAATAGAATCAGCTCTCTACACAAAAAAGTTCTTATACACAAATAAGGCAAAACACTAGGGAATGGAATTAACCAATTGTACAGTGTTTTATTGATCTGTGTCCTGAAAATTTAAAATGAACCCTACTGCCCACTTCTACCAGTGAAATAGTCCTGTTAATGTGAGGAGACAGCCTACAATGGATACCAGGATGACCATCTCAGAATTGCATCCTTTCAAAAGAGGACACAGCTGCATAAAATATGTATCTGCTTACTTATATGATTCAAACAAATTACTGCAATTTAAATAGAAATCTGGTACATCTCGCTATAATGCCAAAGTCTGTGGTTAGATGACATGTGCATTTGCTTGATGTGCTGTCCAAGTGCTGATGGGCAACTATGAAAGACATAAACTTTAATGAAATATGCGAAAATGTCTAAGTAACCACAGGCAATTTGCTGTCTGCATGTCATACTGTTGAATGCTGAAAGAGTGGTAAGGTTTTCTGTCCATTGATTAACAGGGAGTGGGTATTAATCCATCCAGTGTTGTAGTAATTATTATGGAGACCCCATGTCCTGCATAGAATATGTCTGTGCTCCCGTAAGGATATGCGCACCACTGTTAAGAATTACGATTCCAATGGTCCTTTGAATTGAAAAGCTTCCTCAGTAAATTAGGGCACGTGGCTCCACTGCCTACATGGAAGAACTATTCCCAAGTTTAACAATAGAAAGGGGGAAAAAATCACTTCTGAGCGCAGGCACCTGCTAGCAATATCCAAATATTCATTTTAGGAACATATGGCAGTTGAGGGCTTTTTCAGTCTTGAACTTAAGAAGAAGAGATCTCAGTTCCAAAGATATTCTTTCTGTGGTTTCCCATTCATATTTAATTTCAGTGCTCCTCTCTGTCAACAATGGAATGGTGCTCTCTGAGCCAAATAAGCTGGTCTGCTCCCCTTTTTTGTTTCCATTAACCAAGCTGAGGCAGGCACGTGGATTGAGTAAACTTGGTTGCTGGTCTTCAGTTCTGAGGAGCGAAAGAATGCTGGGCACCTGTGCTAAACAGAATGGGCCATTTGCACACGGTCCCATTCATCAGGGGAATGCGGACAGCTGGCCGGAAAGGGGCTGTGTTGTTTTCTCATGCTTTCATTGATCAGGGAATGTGTAGGCACCTGCACTGCTTACACAGCCCGGGCGGTTTGCCCATTGCTCCCATGTGCAAGAGACGTCTCCGGCTTGAACCCTGAGCCTTTTGCAAATGTGCATCCCCTAAAGAGCTGGGAAGAAGATGGGCGGAAGGAACAAAGATGATCTTCTTTGCGTAGCAGAAGAAATGCATGAAATTCATGGCAGGCCTTTCGGCAAGACTCCCAAGCCAGGCAGCTGATTTCCATTAGTTTAACAGGGTTTCTCTCCCAGGCAATCTTGGCAGTGGAGGTAGTAGCGAGCCTCAAAACCTCCAGAAGCTGTTCCCGTGATCTCAAAAACAACGAGGAAGGGGGATGTTTTACATAAAGCGGCTTTTACTTTCACTTCCCATATAGGAGTCTAGACTGGAGAGATTGTTGCTGTGCAGAATAGAGAGGGTGAGTGAGAGAGGATTTTTGGTGAGAAGACTCATGAAAGCAGTCCTTTCTGAGCGTGAGAAGTATCGTATGGGAATCATAGCTTTGCTAGTTAAGGAAACGGGGCCAAACTGTGCATTACGGATTAAGCTGCCATGAGAGTGGAAATCAAGCTAGTAGGAAGAGACGTGATTCAGATTATCATCTTTGAGCAATTAGACATACAAAGGAACAATATGTTTATTTGCTGAAAAACAAAGCAAGCTAATTTGTATAATACTGGTGGTGAAAAGACTTCTGCTGTAATGGCCATGCCCAATCAGCACTTAAGGAATTCCCTCATCCAGCAATAGATTATCTGTAATGTATATTTGGTCCTTGATTTGTCTGGTGCAGTGGTTTCAGCCCCAAAATAACCCTTCTGGCACTGCCCTCCTATATAGAATTCTTCCCAAATGAAGGTTACCAGAATCCTTGGAGCGGAAGCTATGCCACTTACACTGTTTTTTTAAAAACGAAAAAAAAAACAACGTGTTTTTAAATGATATGTACCATGTGTTGTCCATATGTAACCAGCTGCATTTCATTACGGACTTTCTTCTCTCCCACCCCCACAGGTGATTTTTCGTGCCTTAACTCCTGCTAATAAGATTGAAGACCCCTATAGTCTAGAAGCACAAGACCTCCTGAAGCTCACCAATTTACGGCTCTTGCTATTAAAGAGACAAGAGTGTCCTTGCCAAAACTCAGGGTGGCCCGAAAAACCCCACCGGTTCGCCCACTATGCCATCTATGACCTCATTGTCCGTGGCAGCTGCTTTTGCAATGGCCATGCTGAAGAATGCCAACATGCCAATGGAACAGGTGCCGATAATGTGGTAAGTATTGCTTTCCAAAAGGCATCAGTTTTGTCAATGGGGCTACGCTGTGATAGGCCACGGTTCCTTGAATGTTGCCATTGTGAAGATTTCTAAGCTGCTGTAAGGAGAACTTTCTGATATGTCACCATAGGAGCCAGGACTGCTAGGTGCAGGTGGGTGGGGTGGGGTGGAGGGACACAAGCCCAGAGTTAAGAGAAGATACTCTTATTGGATTACACTGGTTTAGGGATTAAATCTTAAATCTTCTGGGATTTGTGGTCCAGTAACTTTCTTCCTTTTTCTGCAAAAAAAGCCACATCTTTTTGCACAGCCAACGTTTATGTTATGCTGATGGCATTTTATAAATTTATCTTACTATTATAATTTATACCCAGCTTTTACAGAAACAAGTCTTTCAAAGGTGGTTTACAGATTATATTGGAATATTTAAACCGAATCACAATAAATAATACCACTGCTGGCTTTGTGATTTAGGTATCTGGCTGTGGAACCAGAGGGTGGAGGTTCAAAGCCCTACAGTGTCTCCTGGGAGGAGAGCCTGCCTGTGTAGCAACGGGCAAGCTGCGCAGTCCCGGGGCACCTCCAGAAGAAGGGAATGAGAAACCATTTCTGAGTACTCCTTGCTTAGGAAACTCTGGAAAGGGTTGCCATAAGTTGAAATCAACCTGACAACGCACAATTGGTATTGTTAATACGACTACAACATTAGGATCACTTCCCATAGGACAGTTGGGGATGAGGAATAGTGTAGCTGGGAACAGTCTCCAAGAATCACCGGGCTGATTGTTAATATTGTTAAAATCTTGCCACTACTTGTTGGTGTGGAGGAGGTAGGAGACTAAATCTAGGGTAACAGCTCCTAATTGTCTTCTAAACTTAATTGCACTTCTGGAATTTCTGGTGAAATTAGTTTGTAGAGTTGATTTCTTTCTTCTGAACCAGTATGCCTGTCTACCTCAAAAACAGTAATCTTGTAGTTATGAATGAAGACTTAAACATCTAGTTTTATCATACCTGGCCAGTCTCAATGAATGTGTAATGTCTGATTCTAATTATAACTGTTTTAAACATCAGTATAGTACTAAAAGTGCACTGTGTTTCTAGGTCTTTTTTAAAAAAAAATCTATATTTTAAAAGGCACAGAGGGAATGTTAATTCCCCTTCTGATTAACAGCTTCTCTCGATTCCAACCTTATTTTGGCCTCTAGAGAAATGCCAGATTTGCAAGGAGTCTGGGAATTAGTTGGTTTTTGGATAAGCTGGGAACAAGTTTTTAATTACATCTAAAACAAAATGACAGAATGAGGGCAAATTTGCAAAGCTCATTTGGGTTGTGTGAGATTTACTTTTACTAGATGTACAAGAAAAATATGTAAAGATATTTTTTTTGTAATTTGTTTTTTTCCCAGCAGCTTAAATTGAAGAGTAAAAGGGATCTAGCACTTGATGGTGTGACTAAGAGAACGCACCTGTCCTTGTGACAGGTAGGATGCTTTCGGAGAAAAGCAGTACTGCTGATAGGAACTCCAAAGGACCATGCAGGTGGTGGGCACAGAGGCTGTAGTCCTTGATCCTGAACAAAACACATGCAAATCATAATGAGTGAAAGCATCTGTGCCCCTGAAAGGAAGCTGTGTGTGGATGGATCCATGGGAGCCCAGCGCACCACTCATTAAGTCCCTGTTGGTGTAGGACCGGGTTGGCAAACTGTAGCCCTCCTGGCATTGCCAAGCTACAACACCCAGCACTCCTCATCAGGACAGGCTGATTAAGGCTCCTGGGAAGGGCAGTCCAATAATATTTGGAGGGCTACATATTACCCACTGCTGATGGAGGCCAGGCCAAACAAGTGCCTTAGAATCACAGAATAATGGAGGTGGAAGGGGCCGGCTCCAACCCTCTACTCAGTGCCCTGGGTCCTGTGCATATTTGTTTACAGCATGCCTTAGAATCACAGAATAATGGAGGTGGGAGGGGCCGGCTCCAACCCTCTGCTCAGTGCCCTGGGTCCTGTGCACATTTGTCACATACAGGGGTGCCTCACAACCCTCTTGACTTGCAACCAATTTGAGTTACAGCCAGCTCCGGTCGCAATATTTTGCTTTGACTTGCAACCGGCACTTTGAGATACAACCGGTTCCCCATTGTTCCCTCCCTCCCTCCTTTCCTGCCTGTTTCCTAACCTTAGAGGTCATTTTAGGTTTGTTTTTTTAAGTCTCCCCCTAGTGGATGGATTAACCGCTTTTGCATTAGTCCCTATTTTTAGTCCCTGCTGGAATTTTTCAAAACAAGCTTTTGCATTAGTCCCTATTTTTAGTCCTTGCTGGAATTTTTTTTTTAATTTTTAGACTCCAAACTCCTCCCCCCACAATTGTCTCCTCTCTCTCTCTCAATCTCTATCCTCTCTCTCTTTGTGCCTAAAAGCACAAACCTTTACCTGAGCCGTCTACGTACCCCAGTGATGACCTCCTTTCTTTCCTCTTTTCTCCATTGTTCCCTCCCTCCCTCCTTTCCTGCCCTTTTTTTAACCTCTAAGAACGGCCAGAACGGATGAATCGCGTTTCAATGTATTCCTATGGGAAATGGTGCTTTGAGTTACAACCAACTTGAGTTACAACCATCAACCTGTAACAAATTAAGTTTGCAGTTCGAGGCACCACTGTATATGGGTAGAAATGGAAGCTAAAGCTTCTCTGGTTTAACTTCACTGGTTGCCACATTAGAACGCTAAACTAGATACAGCATTTCAGTTTTTCCAGTGCTGACTACTTTTATCCCTGGGCATTGACACTATCACCATTACTCTCAGTAAGACTTCCAAGTCTCAGGGTAGCAGTTGAAGGCCCCGGGAATTCCTGTAGTTCCTTGGGTCTCCCAAGTTGTTGGACAAATCTCAGGGCAGGTGGAATTTTGAGAAGGAAAAGGTATGATTTTATTGTATGCGGTGGTTTTAACATCTGGGTGCGTGTCTCTACCCATTGCCAGCTGGCATCAGAGCCCCTTGACTTGGTGAAAAGCCAGTATACCTACACTCTACCCATTGCCAGCTGGCATCAGAGCCCTCTGACCTAAAAGCCAGTATACCTACATGTGTTGTGCCCATGCAACATTGGTGCACTGAGGGCATGAGTCTGGGGATGGTATAGCTGTTGAGTCTGTGCACATGGGACCATAATGCTTTAGGGAGTAAGGTGGGGAGTCCAGCACCAGCTTTGTGATGCCTGAGACTTCTTGTTGGATAAGTTGTGGCAGCAGCAACACAAGAGTGTAGAAAAACAATGCCCATTGGTTAGTGCAAGCCTTCCGTAAGCCACAGCAGCAGCACAGAATCTGGGAAAATTCCCAGTGTGCTGCAGGCAAGGTTGCACAGGATACCTGTCCCAGTAGGATTGTAGAAAGTGCTCGAGCTGCTGCACTACCAAGAACATAGTCCACCCTTGCTTTTCACCCTTACTTGGCTAGCGAGGTTTTACGTGGTTTCTGAGTAGAGATGGGCACAAGCCATGGTTTGGCAGATTGAGCCCACAGGCGTTGCATGGGCACGCTGGATTTCCTGCCCCAGCCATGGTTTGGCAGATTGAGCCCACAGGTGTTGCATGGGCATGCTGGGTTTCCTGCCCTGCCTCCTCCCACAGGCGCCCACTCAGAGGTCATGCCATAGGCTTCCTTGCTCCACCATCTCCTCTGAGTGAGTGCCTGCAGTTTATACCCATCTCTGCTCAGCATCCATGTAAAATCTGGCTAGCCAAGTACGGGTCAAAAGCAAGGGTAAACTGTTTTCTTGGTGCCACAGTTCATGCCCATCTCCAGTTCTAAGTCCATTTGCCTGGATTACAACTGATCGTTCACTTGTGGAAGCAGCTTCTGTGCCCTTTCTAACACTTGTCTGCCCCACCGGAGACATTGTAAGACCCTCTCCCTGACCTCACAAGGACCTGCCCCCAGTTTCTGGTTTTAGCTCTACAGTTTCAGGGAATGGGCTGAATTGACCTTAGCGACACCCAAAACTTCACATGTCTTACCACGAAAGAGGCTGTCATATTCTGCAACAATTTCCTTCAGCTTTACAACCTTTGTGAATATTCGGTGGGGAGGCAAAGTGGAGTCTAGAGAGTGTCTTTGTCAAAAGGTGAACAAATTAGTATGTTTAATAAGGGTCTAACACTCTAAAGGAGATGATTGTTTCCCACTGTGCTTTCAACATTATCATCACTCACTTTCTGCACCAACTAACGTAATAATTAAAAAAGACTTGAATTTTTGTATTGAAGACGTTTTCTTCTAAAACTGCACTTCTTAAAAATAACTGCACTGTTTGATTCTGGTTGCGTAATTTTAAAAAACTCTGGTTTGTACTCTGAGTGTCACTAGATGTATGTTTAAGCCTCAAAGACCCCACTGTAGAAAGGTGCTAAACCTCTGAAGCAGATCTTTCAGAGGAAAAGCTGAAGGAAAACTACACACTATGATGAATACAGGGATGTGGACACTTTATTTATATTTATATGTAAATAACATCCAACCCATTTAACCGGAAGCAGGGAACATTAGTTATCAGCTGAACTGAGCTAATTTCCTTATGTGATGAGTGCTCGGCTCTCTAGAGAAATCTGAAAGTCAAAGCAATTTGAAATTGGCCTATCCTGGAATTAGGAAATTAAGGAATTGTGTTACAACTAACTTCAAGTGTGTCTAAGGATTTATAATTTTGACTTGCTTATTCTTTTTTAATTTTTTTTAAAATTTTCTATAACTATAACATAAACAAAAACACATACATGAAACATATAAACTCAAATACAATAACTGTGTTCCCCACCACCATATAAGGAACCTCTTGCCTCCTCCTTCTTCTTCTTCTTCTTCTTCTTCTTCTTCTTCTTCTTCTTCTTCTTCTTCTTCTATTGTCCTCTTCTCCAAAACTGTATAGATTCTTGATTTGGAGCTTTCCCTTTCCCCCTTATTAGCACATATTCCAAAAATTTGCCCCATATTCC